AACCAACGAAATTGATCTTTTTCGACAATCAAATTGAGCTTGATATGCCATTAACCAATCCATCCCCAGTATCACATCGAACTCGGATAGCAAAATCAACCCCCCAAATACTAACCGGAATTTGCATATAGAGTTCTCGGCACTGCAGTACTTCTCCTGATGGAAGTAAAACTTCTATTACCACTTCTACCGATGAATTCAGACCCAATCTTTGAACCAAACGTTTAGATATGAACGAGAACGTTGCATCCGAATCAAATAACACAAGAGCTGACAAACCGCAAACAAGAAATTTACCCGTTAGAACCTCACCTGGGTGATGATCAGCCTCTGTTTGAGTAACAACATTTATTCTGCCACGCTGGTCAGGTCCTCTGCCTGGCTGCCTAGATGACGGACGTGACTGACTTCGACCACCTCGCCATGATGGTCCTAATCCTCTCCCCTGTGACTGCGAAGACGGCTGCTGCCATGGCCTAAATCTCGGTTCTGGAAACTCCCTTGCAGTTACCACACTTGGGCATAGCCTGACAATATGACTACTACCACCATACTTAAAACATGTTAATGGAACTTTATCACAACGGGTACCTGAATGACTTGTTCCACAACGTTGACAAACAACCCCCGATTGTTGAAACTTCTTTTGACTCGGTTCTTTAATCTAAATCCCTTTATACGGTGGCCCAGACCTGAATATTTCCCACCATTTATTTTTACCCTTTGGTTCGTCCTCCACCTTAGCTTTTCCTTTATCTCGAAACTGATGTTGATACCCCATTTCCTTCTTACTGCCCTTATGTCTGACTTCCTGCTTCTGATAGAATCGAGCAGCACGCTCGTAAGCCTCATACAACAAACTGATATCCAACACAGCTAAAGCTTCTTGAATCCTCTGCTGCAACCCACCTACAAAATGATCAACTCTATCTCGCTCACAGGAAAAGTAGTCAAGAACATACATCTCCAGCTCATTGAACTTTACAAAATAGTCATCTACTGACATCGAACCCTGCTTCAAGTCCAGCAGCTCTTGCTTCTTTACTTTTCAAACATGTGACGGTATAAACCTAGCTTTTAATTTTTCTTTGAACTCATCCCAAGTCATATCCACTTGGTCCACTCCCGCAGCTTCCTCACCTAACCACCACCGATTTGCTTGACATTTCAAGAAATAAGCCCCGATATTGGCTCGTTGATCTGGTGGAACCTGAACAACACGAAATATCTTTTCCATCTTCTCAACCCAGAACTCAAGAACTCTAGGCTCTACGGAACCAGAATATGTTGGCGAGTTATGCCGCATCACAGCATCAATAAAACTTCTCTGTTGAGGCATCATCGCAGTCATAAAATGCCGGAAGAAATCCTGACTAGGTGCCTCTATTGGTACATGCTCTGGCACATGATATTGTGACTCATCAGACGAAGGATCTAGCTCTGGCCTTGAATAGCCCTACGTAAACCATCACCTCGAGAATTCGGCATACTGCCCCCCCCCCGACTTCCCTGATCCAATATCAACTCAATAACACAACTAACTCAGGTATAACATTAAAACATAAACCACATTAACATGAATGCACCCACAAAACCCAAACCTCGCCAAACCAATTCAATATCATCATTATTTTCAAAACCTTTTTAATCCAAAGAGCCAAAATCTACCAAACCTATGCTCTGATACCAACTTGTTACACCCCCAGTTGGCTCATACTGGAAATGCTACCGCCACACAGCATCATGAGGTTGTCATCTCCTACTTCGAGCCCCACAATACAGTGTTAAGGCTAAAATAAACCATAAAAGCGCATTATTATATAACAAAATCTGATTTATAAATATTTAAAAAACACACCCCTTAACAAGAGGTTTTTCGGGTTAAAAATTTACATATAATACAATAGACGTAAGCTCACTCACTCAGCCCGTCTTTCTATATCCCGAGACGTCCCCTGTCTCGGATGTGCCATGCATACCTGAAACAAATATTTTCTTAAAAGCAGTCTAGAATTAAATCCATTTTAAGAACTAACATGAAATATGCCATATCATACCTTTTTAAAATAAAGTCTAATTCCCGTCAATCCTAAAATACGTGTCATGCTATGCCAATAGTGAAATGATGCAACAAAGATATCAAACTCGACAACAATGCACATGCACATATATATATATACATCCGCCGAAGTGAGTAGCCGGAATAACCTCGGCTCCATAATAATAGGCTCACTGCATCTGTCTAAGTGAGCAGCCGGAATACCCTCGGCCCTGCAATAATAAGCTCACTAGACCATCATCAATAAATAGCTAGAAAATCCTCGGCTCAAGGAAGGACCTTATAAACCCATAATAATATAACGGTCATCCGGTCACTCCCATATACCCACCATACGGCTCCCACAATCAATATATGGATAGCCGAACGTTGTTGCCATTAACCACAAGACGCCCCATAGTCTGTAATAGTAAAGATAGGACCATCATTGACTAGCCCTATCCCGTGTAATGTAGTAGAATCCGTGCAACCTGGAATCACCCAAGGGAAACCCGAAAACTCTACTCCTCCTCGCGCGCCCTAACAGGATCACGTTTGGAGTTTGGCATATGATTCTAAACTACCGGTAGACCTCACTAGTGATCAGTCCAATGAGTGGAACAACACCGAACACAAATAATTAGACCAAATACGTCTCAACTACAATGGGTCTAATCCCTGAATGACTGTGCGACTAAGTCACCCAGTTGTCCGACTACTATCGTCCACTATCGCCAAGTGTTACGGTACATCGGGGTCGAATATCCAGATAATGCCCTCGCCTAACACTACCGCACATGGCGACTAAACGATAGATCCATAAAACATATCCGATAAACTGTGCAATATGTGTGCAACATGCCAAATAAGTGAATTTACCGAAAAGAGGCTGGTGAGACAACTCACCTATGCTCCGTTTCATAAATTCACCACCGCGATCAAATACGTATATCAAATATCATAAATCGTGAAGTCTCCCACATGCATACGCACACACATATATATAAATATATACATGCAACAAAATAATTCACATAATATTACATTAACATATTAATCAAAATCGCATGCAACATGCATACCTAATTTCTTAAAATTAGATTTAATTCCCTACTGCTTACCTCTTATCGACACTCCCTAACTTTTGCGATCTCACCCAAATCTCCTCCAACGTACATCTGCCCCATTATTTACTCAAATCAGCTGAGCTATATGTTTATTCATAGGAGCTACATGCTTATTCAAAAGCTAATTTCTATAATTAGCTCGTTGGATTTCAAACTTTTATATTTAGCAGAATACGATATTTTAGCTATAAAACTCTTATACCTCAAAATATTTATATTGCCCGATTATTAAATAAAAATACTTAAAGATATGAATAAACAGGAAGGTGCAATATACTGCCATTTTTAATTCGGCTCGGATCGATACGAAATTCACATGATATAATGCTAGGACTACGAATAGGCTATTAGCTAAAGGACTTAGTCGATTAAATAGCCAAATAGCCGGTTATGAATTTTTGAAAATTTTTTAATTTAATATCTTCAATATCTAAATTCATATTAAAATCCATAATTAAATTCTACGTATAACAAGAAATACAATACTGAAGTCGAAATCAAAATTGAACGACTAAATTTTTTTCAATCTTCCTTTCTTCTCTTCCTCATGCGGCTTCTACCCTCCTTCACAGGTAAGATTTGGTTTCTTATATATATATATAATTATATTATTATTATATATATTATATATATTATATTATATTATTATTATTATTAATGTTATTATTATTATTATTATTATTATTATTATTATTATATCTTCGCGGTCATCCATCCTTATTATTATTATTAATATATATATATTATATTTTATATTTATTTTTATCGATATTTATTTGTTTAACAGTCTTTTTAATCATAATCAATATATAAAATAGAAATAAAATTTATTCCAAAATATTAATTTCTTGATTTTAAAATATTATAAAAATATTTATTTACAATAATAATATTATTTTATACACTCCAAAATCGAAATATTACACACAATGACTTCAAATATATGTATATATATAAGATAAGAAAAGATATATGATGATACTTAAAAAATATATTAATAAAATTATTATATTAAAAACACAGAATCGTATAAAATTTAATATATATATATAAATACAAATAACAACAAATAAATAAAAACAAATTTAATATTATAGGATTTTTAAAGCCTTAAAAATAAATTATATTTTGCAAAATATCTTTCTTTATACGCAATACTTTTTATAATTTAAACTATTGCCACTAATTTTTTTATATATTAAAAAATAAATAAACAAAAAAAAATTAGAATAAAAAACAATAATAAGAAATATTAATATTAGTATATCTTACAAAATTGTTAAAAATTAAAAAATTTTAAAATAAATAACAAATTTGATATTAAAATAATTTAAATTTATTAATAAAAAATGATCCTATCAAATAATCAATAAAAATAAATGATTATTAAAAAATAATTTTTATATTTAAATTGCACCTTATTAATATATATATATACGTATAAAAATTTATTAGAAATTAATATTGTACTTTTATTATAAATCCTTCATATATGTATATATTAAAATAAAAATATAAAACCTATACATATATATATTATATTATATGATATAAAAAAAATATATTGACTTATATTTATATAATAATTAATTAAATTTAACAATTAATAAAAATTTAATAAAATATATTCAATATTATTCAAAATTTTTAATTAATCAAATCTTTCATCAAATTAAATTTTTTTAATAATTCAAAGTTCTTAAAAATTTTTATTTTATATTATAATGGGCCACAATGAATTCAAATATATATATATATATATTAAAAAGATATATGATATGATATTGTAGCCGCTAGCCATTCGCCTTTAATTAATTTGACTTTAATTTCCGTGTTTTTGTCCACCAACAAAGTCTTCCGTCCTTCCATTCTATTCCATCCTTCCTTCTTAACCACCAAACAAACAGGCTTTTGGACAGGCCAAGCTAGTCCTCCTTTGACTCATTTCCTACTACCACTAGCTACTTCCTTCCGACAATAGGATTCCCGACGTGGCTCCACTTCCAACCCCCACCCGCGCTTGCTTGCTTGATTGATTTGCGGTTCATTTCTGAGGCCGTACGGCGGCACAGATCGATATAGATAGATAGATAGATAGATAGATCGGAGAAGATACCTCCGTGGCGCGTGATGAACACGAGCACCAATCTGACAGAGGCATACAGTGCACGGCTGCCGGCAGTCCCACCGTGGCTGAACAAAGGCGACAACGCTTGGCAGTTGACGGCGGCTACGCTGGTTGGACTCCAGTCCATGCCGGGGCTTGTTGTCCTCTACGCCAGCATAGTGAAGAAGAAGTGGGCTGTCAACTCTGCCTTCATGGCGCTCTACGCCTTCGCCGCCGTCTTAATCTGCTGGGTCGTCCTCTGCTTCCGCCTCGCTTTCGGAGACGAGCTGTTGCCTTTCTGGGGCAAGGGCGCCCCAGCCCTCTCCCAGAAGTATCCATTCGAATCAATTTATTAATCTAATTTACCTAGTAGCCTTGCCTTTCTTTCACTGTGTGAAGTGTGAAGTGAATGCAATTAATTAATTAATAGGTATCTAACTGGACGGGCGGGCGTGCCGGAAAGCACCCACTTGTACTCAAACGGCACAGTGGAGACGCCCAAGAACCAACCGCAGTTCCCGATGGCTTCCCTTGTGTATTTCCAGTTCACATTTGCAGCGATAACGACGATTTTGCTTGCGGGTTCGGTGTTGGGGAGGATGAATATCAAGGCCTGGATGGCGTTCGTCCCCCTTTGGTTGACTTTCTGTTATACGGTAGGCGCATACAGTCTTTGGGGCGGCGGCTTTCTCTACCACTGGGGGGTCATTGATTATTCCGGCGGCTACGTCATCCACCTCGCCTCCGGGATATCCGGTTTCACAGCCGCCTATTGGGTAAGGATCGAAGTTTATGTATGTATGTATGTATGTAATTCAATTCAATTATTATGGTATCCTCCAATCAATGCTGTATGTATGTATGTATGTCTGTAGGTGGGCCCAAGGCTGAAAGCCGACAGGGAAAGATATGTGCCCAACAACATATTGCTGATGCTCGCGGGAGCGGGGCTGTTATGGATGGGGTGGTCCGGGTTCAACGGCGGCGCTCCCTATGCTGCAAACTTGGTTTCATCAGTAGCAGTTCTCAACACCAACATATCGGGCGCAACCAGTCTTCTTGTGTGGACGTCACTTGATGTATTCTACTTTGGGAAGCCATCCGTGATTGGGGCTGTGCAGGGGATGATCACTGGCCTCGCCTGCATCACGCCTGGTGCAGGTATAATATAATATAATATAATATAGTATAATATAACAGCATTAATTTTGCAAGTAAGTATGAAAAGAATTTAATTCATTGATATTGCAATTTTACCCGCCCTAGTCCAATAGTAATGATGGGATGCAGGTCTGGTGCAATCGTGGGCGGCTATCATCTACGGAGTGCTGTCTGGCAGCATTCCATGGTACTCAATGATGATCCTTCACAAAAAGTCCACTTTGCTACAAAAGGTGTACAACTGTCTGTCTCCGATTTGTTATTATTATTATTATTAGCACAAGAAGATTGATTGATTGATTGATTGATTAAATATTGTTACGAATGAATAATTAAGAAAGAGTCTAGGTCTACCTAGTAGTATTAATATATATGTATAATCAATTGATGAAGGTTGATGATACACTGGCGGTGTTCTACACACACGCGGTGGCGGGGATTTTGGGCGGGCTTTTGACTGGGCTATTTGCGCACCCCAGCCTCTGCTCCATGATCCTGCCTGTTAAAAACACCAAAGGGGCAATTTATGGCGGAGGAGTTCTATTCGGCAAGCAGTTGTGTGCAGCACTGTTTATCATCGGGTGGAACTGGGCATCCACTACACTCATTCTTCTGATAATTCGGATGTTGATACCCTTACGGATGCCCGACGAGCAGCTGATGATTGGGGATGATGCGGTGCACGGGGAGGAGGCCTACGCGCTGTGGGGGGACGGGGAGAAGTACGACTCGGCCAAGCACGGCTGGCACAACCCCGCCGCGCATGGGGACGACTTGCCCTCCACCGGCCTATTCGTTGGGGCAAGGGGAGTCACTATAGATCTCTGACATACATACAATCCACAATCTACAGTCTACAAAATACTTACACACACGCCTAACCGTTATTTAATTCCATCTATTAATTGCATTTCTATTTCTGAATCATCATTATCATTATGCACCTTGTCCATATCTCATTATTCAGTTTGCTTCAATTCCATTTGTACCTTAATTACATCACCAATGATTTGCATGGCCTAAAAGGCAAAATCACTTAAGATTCTCCTTTATAATTGAAATATTCTTGCTTTTCAAAATATTGCACAATTGTTTTTTAAGGAAATTCTAAGCAATATTTTTAAAAATACAAGAAAGTTTTATGTTATTTAATATTTTCTAAAATATAAAACAAGTTTAATGCAATTTTTAAATAACATAGAAGTATAATACTGGCTTTTTAAAACAACATATAAATTATAGGTAATTTTGTCTTGCTTAATATATTGCGTATGAATTTTATAATTAGGTTAAAAGGCCCAAGCTAGAAGGAGATGTCGACCTGTAATTGGGTCCGCTAGATTAATTAAGGGGTGTTTCAAAATAATCGGTTGAACTGGACGCCCTTCTAAGGAAATAGGCAAGTTGGATGATCTGCGAGTCGGACAGTCCACAGGTCGGATGGTCCGCAAATCGGATGGTCTGCAAGTTGGATAGTCCACAGGTCGGATGGTCTGCAAGTCGGATGGTCCGCGGGTCGGACGGTTCGCAAGTCGGAAGGTCCGCGGTCGGACAGGCAGGTCGGTTGGTTCGCGGTCGGATAAATAAGTCGGAAGGTCCGCGGTCGGACAGGCAGGTCGGTTGGCTCGCAGTCGGATAAGCAAGTCGGAAGGTCCGCGGTCAGACAGGCAGGTCGGTTGGTTCGTGGTCGGATAAGTAAGTTGGAAGGTCCGCGGTCGGACAGACAGGTTGGTTGATCCGCAGTCGGATAAGCAAGTCGGAAGGTCCGCGGTCAGACAAGCAGGTCGATTGGTTCAAGGTCGGATAAGTAAGTCGGAAGGTCCGCAGTTGGATGAACAAGTCGACTGCTGTGGAGGTCGGATGCTGTGGAGATCGAGTGAGAATAGTAGCTTGGTCGGTTGGGTTACGCGGTTGGTAAGACGGTTGAGAACACGTGTCAGCAAAAGAGGAATTAGTAGACGGTTGAGAGGAGGCGTTGTAACCGTTAGGGCGACGGTTCCAGGTACTGTTTCTGAGGAATATTTAAGGATTGGGGTCAGCAACTGGCAAAGGATCTTCAATCATCTTCAAAGGACAACAAAGTCAGTGATTCGGGGATCATCATTTAATTTTCAATCTGTAGCATTTATTTTCCAATTTACTTATGTACCGTACAGTTTTTAGAGATTCCTAATCTCAGGCACTAATTATATCAAATTCAGAAGAGAGAATTGAAGGTTTCAGATGTCATTATTGTGAACGGATTAACATCAATCCATCTCTTGAGGAATTTCGTTCGGAATCTTTGACAGCTCAACCTGAAAATGAGACCAGAGACAAAATTCTAGAAACAGATTCAAGGTCTGTCAAATCTCGGCTAGGGCCACGAGTTCCCTGTCGAATGACAGGAATTAATTGGATTGAAGAAGAACCCATGTGGGCAAGTTTGGTGGACGATATTATAAAAGAGCCAGAATGGGCAAATATTTCAGATCCTGATTTTCAGTCAGAGATTCCTCCGATAGTCTTCCCTCCCATTCCAAAAGGCACGGCGTCTCATTTAAAGCCTATATACGTTAATGCTCATATTTGCGGGAAACCAATCACAAGGGTTTTTATAGACAATGGCGCCGTATTCAATGTGATGCCATTAAAAACTCTCAAGAAGTTAGTGAAGGGAATTCACGATTTGTCTCAAGTAGATTTTGAGATGACTAGTTTCACTGGCCAGCCGATTAAACCGGAAGGTATGAAGGTCGCTACAATTGAAGTCGGTCCTAAAAAGATTTCTTCTGTTTTCTTTGTGGTGGATGCGGACACTACATATTCAATCCTACTTGGGCGAGATTGGATTCATGCATCTCAATGTGTACCATCAAAACTACATCAACGATTAATGTTCTAGGAAGGCAATCAGGTCTTCAAAATGGAAGCAAATGACAACCCTTTCGGTGCATCAGAACAAGTTGAAGAATCAATTTTTTTATTCCAATCATGTACCCCCAATGTCTCAGTTGTTTATGACTAATGAATACCCAAAGAAGGGTTTTAAATCCATCAGCCAGAATTCAATGTTCTTCTAACAAGAACAATTTTACTGTATGGCTCATGAGGAAGCCAAACCTACTTTATAATATATCTTTTATGGAAAGTGCAAATTTAGAAGATTGTAGTTTACTTATTAATCAATTTTATTTACATCAGCTTTTGGAAAAGGCAGAAAAAATCAAAAAGATTCATGATGTTTATTTCAAAGAAGATGAACAATTTCGTTGGCCTGATTTATTAGAGAAGACAGAACCAGCTTTTTCAGCACAAGATCCTTTGTTGGAATTTAATTTAGGAACCGACCTGGTTTAAAAAATAATAAGGATAAGTGGTTATTTGTCTGAGGAGCATCAAGTAAAAATACTTGAAGTTATCAAAAACAATATTGATTTTTAGCTTGGGATTATTAAGAAATGCCTGGTCTGGAGCGAAGTTTGATAGAGCATCCTTTGCCTATTAAAAAATGTTTTAAACCCTACAAGTAACCTCCAAGGCGTATGAGTCCTTATTTGATGCCTCAAATTAAAGAGGAAATTCAGAAACTTCTTAAAGTAGGTTTCATCCGGCCTTGCCGTTATGCAGATTGGTTGGCGAATATTGTACCAGTGGTTAAAAAGAATGGTAAGATCAGGATATGCATTGATTTCAGGGATCTTAATATGGCCACTCTTAAGATGAATATGTGATGCCTATGACTGACATGCTAATTGATTCAGCAGCAGGACACAAAATTCTCAATTTGATGGATGGTTATGCAGGATATAACCAAATCTTTTTGGCAGAAGAAGACATTCATAAGACATCATTAAGATGTCCAGGAGCTTTAGGTATTTACGAGTGGACGGTTATGCCTTTTGGTTTGAAGAATGCAGGGGCAACTTATCAAAGGGCCATGAATTCAATTTTTCATGATCTTATTGGTAAATCCATGGAAGTATATATTGATAACGTTATCGTCAAATCTTTCAGTTTTGAGGAACATTTGAGAGATCTTAAAGATGCCTTCGGACGGATGAAGAGGTACAAGTTGAAGATGAATCCGACTAAATGTGCTTTCGGTATATCAGCCGGGAGTTTCTTGAGATTTTTGGTACATGAGAGGGGAATAGAGATCGATGCTAATAAAGCCAAAGCAATTCTTGCCAGCCGACCACCCAAAACGGTTAAGGAAATACAAAGCTTTTTGGGGAAGGTAAATTATCTCAGACGATTCATTTCCAATGTTGCTGGCAAGGTCAGACCAATTATTAAATTATTAAAAGCTGGAGGAAATACTTTCGAGTGGGACCAGATCAACAGATAGCTTTAGAAGCTATAAAGCAAGCATTGGCTCAACCACCTGTGTTGATACCTCCCAAAGAAGGTCGGCCCTTCAAACTTTATTTGGCAAATACGTATGAAGCGGTCAGTTGCTTATTAGCACAAGATGGGGATGATTGAAAGGAAAGGACAATTTACTACTTGAGTAAGACCCTCACAGGACCATAATTAAATTATACTATGCCAGAAAAAATGTGTTATTCATTGTTGTTTGCATGTACCAAACTTGAACATTATATGTTGCCCATGAGAATTGAGGTTATTTCAAGGATTGATCTCATCAAATTAATTTTGCAAAGACCTACTATGCAGGGCAGACTTATGAAGTGGGCCATTAAATTGGCTCTTTTTGATTTATGTCATTCTCCTTTGAGGGCGGTGAAAGGCCAAACAATAGCAGATTTTTGGGCAGACTTTTTGGGTTATGAGCAGGAACCGACCGGATACATGTCTTATGTAAGTACCCGAAATTGGTTAATGTTTTTTGATGGTTCTACTTCAGGAAACATATCGGGTGAGGGTGTTTTGTTGAAAGGACCAGATGGTCAAAGGGTCAAGTTGCAGTTACAATTGGAAGCCATGACCCATAATTCGGCAGAGTATGAAGCTTTAATCTTGGGATTGGAAGCCTTAATAGCCAGGAATGTTCAATCCGTGATCATAAGAGGGGATTCTCAATTGGTAATCAACCAGGTAAACAAACAATATGTTTGCAATTATCCTCATCTACGTAGATACATGGATATTGTAGGTCGGTTGCTATAAAAAAATTTCGAAGTGATAATTGAGTTCATCCCTAGGAAAGAAAATCAATTTGCAGATGAGTTAGCTCAAAAAGCTTGTAAAGGAATCTGAAAAGATATATGTGCAGAGGTCAGCTCTGAAACAGAAGCCGGAGCCGACTGAAGGATAGAAATTATCATGTATCTACAAAATCCGGGAGCGAATGTACCGATTGGAATACGGTTGAAAGCTTTGCGATTCCAGTTGATAGAAGGAGTATTATACAAAAGGACATTCGAAGGATTACTTTTGAAATGCTTGGGGTCCAAACAGGCTTTGGAAGTCATGACAGAAGTACACAGTGGAATTTTTGGAGCTCATCGGGCGGGTTTGAATATGAGATGGGCTATTCATCGTTTGAGTTTCTTTTGGCCAAAGATTTTCAAAGATTGTATACAATTCGCCAAAAGTTGCCAAGAATGTCAGAAGCATGGGCAGTTGACTCATTTGCCAGTCACTGAATTGCAATCTATGGTAAAACCATGGCCCTTTAAATCTTGGGCTATGGATATCATTGGTAAAATTCATCATCCTTTATCCAAACATCTTTGTTTTATTTTGGTTGCAACGGAGTATTTCACCAAATGGGTGGATGCGGTTGCTTTGAGAAGTGTGGATCAAAAGGAAGTGATAGATTTTGTGCTGAATCAGATCATATATAGGTATGGTATTCCCCATTCTATAACAACCGACCAAGGTTTGGTCTTTACTGGGGAGAAGTTTTTAAACTTCTTGGCAGAGTTTGGTATTCGTTTGAACCATTCTTCGCCTTATTATCCCCAAGCTAATGGGCAGACAGAGGCAGCCAATAAGATTATTATTGGAATTATAAAAAAGACGATTGAAGGGAACCCAAGAAAGTGGCATTTGTTGTTATCTCGGGCCTTATGGGCACATAGAAATAACAGAA